AAACACATTCTTAGAATTTAAGAATAACTCTTTTTTTTTGGGGCATTTATGTTAGTTGAATTATAAAACTTCCGGTTAAAATAAAAAGAAATTATGAGTAATGGTAAACTAATACTATCTATTTTTCTTAACTGCAAGTATTTTTAGATATAAATCGAATATAATCTATATTTATTACTTAATTTAAAAATTTGTAGATAGGATGCCACGGATAGGTATTAGGTAGGTAAAATGATTATCCCCTAAATTATTTCAAAGAAAGAGATCCCAAGTAAACAACCATCCTCTTTCTGCTTTTTGAAATCTTGATGAGTCGAGTTATTTTTCCAAGACTTGGAAGTCTTTTTGGTCTTAAGTCAACTAAATTAATTAGTGCCAACCTTTCTGGATTGTGAATCACGCACGCAGTAGGGTTGGTTAATTTTATTTCCCCCTTTCACAAATCTTTTGCCCCACCATAATAGTATAATACTATAGCTTTTGCGATTCTTGTGCTACTGTTGTGCAACGTGAAGACTGGAAAATCACATCTTTGCCCCAAAATACAAGTTTTAAAGGTCTTGTGCTGCTATTATGCAACGTGGAAGTCTGTTTGATCTTAAGTCAACTTAATTAATTAGTGCCAAGCATTCTGGATTGCGAATCACGCACGCAGTAGGATTGGTTAATTTTAATTCTCCCTTTCACAAATCTTTTGCCCCACCATAATAGTATAATATTATAGCTCTTACAGTTCTTGTGCTACTGTTGTGCAACGTGAAGACTGGAAAATCAAATCTTTGCTCCAAAATGCAAGTTTTAAAGGTCTTGTACTGCTATTATGCAACGTGGAGATGGGGATCTTGGGAAATAACTGTCAAATCTTGGAGCAACCCTAATTTTATTGGCCATCGAAAAATCTATTCATTAAAATAAAACTCAAAGGGGTGAGTTACAAAATATGTTTGAAGTAATTTTTTTTGTTTGTAAAAAATGGTTTTTCGAAGATCAATATATGACGTACTCTTTTTGTTTTAAAATATAAAGTTTCAAAATATTTTTTATGTAATTTTAAATAATGTTTTTTATAATATATAAATAATAATTAAAATTTTTTAATAGCTCTTATTAGGTTGTCTTATTTGATAAAAAATTCAATAATCGTTGATATATTATTAAAAAATATTACCTAAAAATACATATAAAAATGTTAAATGTTTTATATTTTAAAATAATAAGTGCATATAACCTTTTAAATATATACACGAGAAAGAAAATTTTTTCTTATTTGGAAGGTAATTTTTTTTAAATCTATTTTTTTATATATTTTCCTTTTAATTACTTAAAATGTAAGTAAGAATATCATTTTTATTTTTAAATACCAATTAATTACAAAAAAAAAATATACAAGAGGAAAAAAAGATGGATAAGATATAAGAAATTAAAGTATATATCATGAATATTACATTAATTAAACTACATGGTTTAAGTATAATAAAACCAATGCAATAGAAGACATGAAACAAAGAAATTAACAACAAAAATAAACAACATTACTCTCATAAACAACGTGATTGTAGGAAAATCATGAACCTTGCTTGTTTAGACTATTGTCTGCTGCATGTTGACAGTTACATTGTAGTCTCGGCAATCAAAAATACTTCCAGTTTTTGAGTTTACACTTTCTTCATATGTTCTGCTTCCTTTTTAATAAGAAATTTTAAATTAAATAAATACTCTTTCAAAATCGTAACTTTGAAGCTTTTAAAGATCAAGATAGAGACAGCAAAGAAGAAATGTGTTATGGAAACAGATCCTGCGAATCTGGCTCGTGATTCTGCTGTGAATCTGCACCAATTACAGCAACTATATTCAGCATTATATGCAGAATATCAGTCACATACTTAATTGTATATATTTTCTATTATTGTATATCTTTAGTTTCCATAAGTAACTGCAAACCTTGTGTATATAAATCATTCAATATTGTGAATAAAGATCATTATTTTCATTCTCAAGTTTCTGTCTCATTAAAATGAACTTCAAAGAAAATAAATACTTAAGATTTTTTTCATCGAATCAGTTTTACTTGTTCTTTTGTTCTTGAATTTTACCATATCAAATATTCTTATATTCATTTTATATTCATCTTAGAATATTTGATCTTCTTTTCTTTTAATTATAAACAAACTTAACCATCTAACACTACAATATAATCTTATCAATATAATGTAGAATGTTGTGGTTTTTATACTTTCAAAGCTAATTACAATAATGTGGAGTATACATTATTGTTTTCTATGGTTTTAAATGATTGAACATCATTAAAACTGATTTGAAGATTATAATTGGGAGTAGGAGAAGATTTTAAGCAGTAGTCTAAACTTACATATCCCATGAATTGAGCTAGAGATGGATTAACATAACTCATGCAGTATTGGATTTTATTTTCTACATAAACTAGAGATTTTGACAAAACATATTACATTTTTTTAACTATTTAAATCCACAAAGATAGATGGTTAATAGGTGTAGATGAATTTAGTATAATTTGATCCTACGGTAACATGAGAAGTGAAGACTTCTAAGCTATATTAATCTAAATTATATATTTATTGATTATAATAAAATCGAACATCTTAGAATTTAAACTTTTAATATCACTAAAGTCAATGTGGTTTTTTTCTTCTTTAATTGGTTTAGTTTGTTAGGTCACTCAAATCATTTCATTTTAATTGCTAAAATAAAATTACAGTTAATTAATTTATGTAGTTAATTAGACTACAATTTTTGTGATTCAATACTTTATTTGATCAGAATGATCCATTTTTCAAGATCCATTCGAAAAGGTATGCAAGTTTCAAACTAAATATATTATCATTAATAGTTTTCTTCTCAAAATTTGAGTACTCGAGAATTTACGAGGTACGAAATAGAAGCAAAATTTGGTAATACAAGTGAAGAAATTTAGTATCTAATATGATAACCTAAAAGCATCTACAATGGGAGTTTCCACCACCAATTGCACATCCTCTCCCATTATTTTACTCAAGAAAAATAATTTATATTTATATAAAATCTCAATCATTTATTTTTTTATTTTTAATAGTTGAAATTAATTTATTTTTTTATTATATTAATTATTTTTTATTTAAAAAAAAATCAATTTCAATTATTAAATATAAAAAAATATTAAATTAAAATTTTATGTAAATATGATATATAAAATTTTTATATAAATAAATTTTTATATTTTTATATATATTAACTTGACCATCCCGCTTTGCAGGGTGTGTGGTTATATATATTATTATTATGAAAGAATAATGAGCGCCTTTGAATTCCAATCTCTTAGAAAATTCGAGGCTCCATCTTCCGATTAGTAAAGAGCATGAGAGGAGGAGTGCGTAACAAAGAAGTTATATAAAATACAAATGGAGAAAGGGGAAGCGTGGCTTTAGGCCTTTAGCGGGAAAGATAGGACCGGGAAAGTCGGCTCTTCCCGCCTTTCTTTAGCGTGAATTTTGAAATCTGCCCTGTTAGTGCCACAAAATGTCGTGTCCGTAAATATGGGCCTCAATAAAAGAGATACTGTTTGGCCCAAATGAAAGATATACTAGCCGGGCCGAGTAGAAGAAACTGAATTGGGTTTAACCAACATTATGTTCACGAGAAGAATAGACGCTTCGGGCCGGAAAAAGCCTACTAGGCAGAGTCTAAAATTTCAAAACACAATAAAATAAAAATTGCCGAAAATGAAGAAAATATATATATAGAAAATGAATTTTTAAAATAAATTAGGGTCTCAAATTTAAATTATTTTATTTTATTTAATTATAGTTTAATTTAAAATTTAAAAATTTATTTTATTAAATATTAATAGTTAAATGAAAAAATTAATTAATTAAAATATATAATTGTTTATAAGTTTAGACTTGCACTTTGCGGATGGGATGAGTTAAGATTGCGACGCCGCTTCTCATGCGACAGTATTTTAGCAAACCTGTAACGTAAAAAATTTCCACAAGAAATTAATTAGGGGTAATTAAAGAAATTAATTAACCTGTAACGAGAAGAATTATATACATATATATATATATATTGTATGAATTAAAGAAATTAATTAGGGGTAGTTAAGATTTGTAACCTCTTGAGAGCCTCTTCATTAGATCCTTGACCACAAGGCTCAATCAAACCCGTTTCCATATTAACCTTAGAAACTGGCTTTTTCAAAAGTTTTTCCCCTACTTCCACAAGATCATCCAAATTCTTCTTTGTTGCTATATCAATTGAACCCATCACCCCACTTAATGTATCATCCTGTAAACAAACACCCACACACACATATTTTGTATTCATTATATGATTGGTTATTGACATGATGCATGCTATAGAAACAAATTAAATTAATGAATTAAGTCTACGTAAATAGGGTACCTGAATACGAAGGTAATTGTCTTCAGATTCTAGCATTTTGAGTACGACGGAGATGTGGTAGTCGACCATGTCGGCACTGGCTTGAGTGAATACTTCAACTATACGAGGTAGCCAACCAAACAAATTCCATTTGGTCGCCTCTTTTGCACTGTGTTTGTTTTTGGTTGATCTGTTTGAGCCAGTTCCTAAGGATATAACCAGAAATCTGGTCATGTAATGACACGGCGGGGAGCCTCCTCTGACCTCTGTCATCTCCTTCTTTGCTTCCCCCATAGCCACTAAAGTCTATACGAGCAAATCAAATTAAGTAATATTAGCTAGCAAGGTCCAATTAATACAAGGCAAAATTAAGTTACATATATTAATTAGGGACAATAATTACTACATTTTCTTATGTAATATATTGACAAGACATTCATTAAAAAATTATATGAAAACTGTATATTGCAAATTTTAACAACTGAATTAACAGGTGTTGATAAATGTCTAAAAGTGACGGGTGTAGCATTAACTTTTCATCAATTAATCTTTTTAATTAACTCACATTAATATATAACATAATAAATATATTTACCGGATTATTGGCTGCAACACCACCATCTATTAGGTTGAATTCTTTGATTTCTTCAGTACCACTGCTAGTAGTATTTTTGGTGGTGAAATGATGGGGTGGAAGATAAGTCGGTGCTGCTGAGGTTCCAATACAGACGTCCGACAGTAACGCATCTAAAGATGGATTTCTCTTCGCCTGCTCCACATATATACAATATCCAAAATCATTAATTTCAGGGTTTCAATTTCAGTATTTAGCTTGAAATTAATTAAATTAAAATAGCAAGTTTAAAACTTTAAATTAAAGAGGGGATTATCATATAACCTCGTAGGTGGAAAAGAAGACTGGTTGATTTGTTTTGATATCAAACACAGGAATAACAACATTAGTCAATGTCTGATGCAATTTTGTGTTTCCCAACTTGTCCCTAAGCAGCTCATGCAGATAGTTTCCATCATATTTTTGTCCAGACATAAAATTGATGAGGTTTTCTGCCTGACCAAGTAATGGATTACTGTTGTATTAAATAAAAAAAAATCATTGTTAGCTTATATAATTAATTAAAAGCCATATATAAATATAAATCAAGTAAATGAAATTTAGAACATTGTCACCTGGATTGGGAGAAGATGTTAGGACAGTGGGTGAGGTAGAAGTCTTTTATGTCTTTGGCAGCAAACAGGGGACGGTTTTTTTCATTAGGAGCAGTTAGCATGGCTGTCACCAGGCCGCCAGTGCTAGTCCCGGCAATCACATCAAAATAATCTGCTATTCTTGCTTCTTCGCCATCCAGTTTCTGAACTCAAGATTACAAAAATCAGTTTGAATTGTTCATTCTTGTTGCAATATGAGCAAAAAAAATGATAATAACATATAATAATTGGACAAGTACTACAACTGAATGTAAAAGTTGAGAATGAAGAGATTATAACAATTGTTCACTTTTAGTAGTTACCTGAAGTTCAGACTCTAGAAAAGTAAGGATGACACTGGGGATGATCCCCCGAATTCCACCACCATCAATACTGAGAATGGTGATTAGGTTTCTGCATGAAGGTGAATTCTTTAGAACTTCCATGAGTTAATCCAAGAGCTTTAATAAGGGATTTGGAGTTTTGAGAGCGATTTTGAGAGAAATATATAAAGCTAGAGAGCTTGGGGCAATGTTTGTGAACTGGAGTTGTAGATATATAATCAACATATCTATTATGTAGTGTGTGTGGATATTTATAGGAATGGCGGGATATCCTATTAGGACAATTCATGTCTTATTAGGATTGAAAGAGATTATGAGGCTGATGTGGATCCCACTTAATCTTATTAAAACGTATTTTTTTTAACAACTTATAAAGGTGTATTTGAAGTAGTAATACAGAAAAGTGATTATAAAATCTTGATATGGGTCCACAAAATCTTTTTATTTTCACGCAAGTTACCATTAGAAATAATATACTCCTAAATAGATTTGAATTAGTAGTCCTTGTATTACTACTAATTTAGGGATTATAAACTATATACTCCTGAATAGATGTGAATTAGGAGTACATGTAATCACTACTAATTAGGGATCATAAACTCTATATTCCTAATTAAATTTGAATTAGGAGTACATGTAATTACTACCATTAGGAATTACAAACCATTAATTATGTTTTTAAGGAAAATCTTGCAAACATATTTTAGCTTGTCATAAAATCTATAAAGGGATTATTACAGTAATTGATTTTGGACTAAACTATTATTGCTAAAATAGAAGACTTAAAATTAAAATCGTTTGTCTTAATTAATAATGATGACACTATCTTAATATATGACAATAATTAATAAAGGAAAGATTTAATTTGTAAACACTATTACTGGTTAAGTTTGAAGTTCAATTTCAAGAATAAATTGAACTTTCCAAAGTACATATCACTCTCATTACTATAAAGCCAACGATTCTTACAAACATCCATTTATCTATTGCAATATAAAACACTACAACTGCATACTACACAAATAGCTAATAACTGTTCATTATTCGTAATGGTATAGCTCTCTTCTTTACTTCTGCTTACAATGAGCGACGTTCTTCTTTTTAAGTTTCTTCTTCCTGTTCTTCAAACTTGATTTAGCACCTTCTCAACTTAGTTCAGACCGTATTCATTGTCTTAAATTTTCGTTAATTGATGAAATACTAGTCTTCTTAGCTATAGGACTGTACTTTGACTGTCTTAATTGTTTGATTTTTGTTGTTGTATATGTTTATCCATACAGATTCGATTCTTCATTACTCTCGTCTTCCTTCTTGGCACCTTTAGCCAAGCTAAAGGCCAACTCTTCAACGTCTTGAATTTTGGGGCTGTTGGAGATGCTCGAACTGATGACTCAAAGGTATATATAATTAGATATATAATATATATGATCCATACATATGTGTGTGTTAAAATTTTTACTAGTTAACTGTATGTGTGTGTTATAATATATATGACTCAAAGGCTTTCTTGGATGCGTGGAGGCGTGTTTGTGAGACCACTGCTACAAGTGGAGCCACCATCCCGACTCTGCAAGTGCCGGCAGGCAAGACTTTCTTGTTGAAACAAGTCAACTTCTCTGGACCTTGCAAATCGACAACCGTTCAAATCCAAGTATTATATGTATTCAAGGCTTTCTTGGATGCGTGGAGGCGTGTTTGTGAGACCACTACTACAAGTGGAGCCACCATGCCGACTCTGCAAGTCCCGCCAGGCAAGA